TTTTTTTTATTCACAAATTTTATTATATTCTAATAGTTTTTGAAATAAAAGTAGTTGTAAACAATAACAAAAGAACGATGAGTGAAAAATGAGGTTGAAGTTTAAACAACCTGTAATCGCATATGTGTATAAAAACATAAACCATAACATACATTTCAACATCAATCCCAACTTTGGAACAGCTCACGTTTCGTTATTATCAATTATCAATTCTTTAGGAAATAACGTTCTAACGCCTTCATGTATTCTTCCAAATGATGTCCTGATTAACCTAAGTGAAGTGAAACAAACATTTGGTCGATGATAGACAAAGAAAATTGAAACGGCTAATCGCCTCATTCGAATGCAGTGCTCTAACAAAGACTGACACAATCTGTAGAGCCAAAACACGTTATGCAGATAAAAGGTCCTAATCTTGGCATTGCCGGTCATAATCTAGTAATTTTGTAAACATAATGGAACTGAATTCGGAATAGAGGGAAGCAATCCTCTCAAAGAACACATCCACGTCGAGATTTTAGGAGCTCCCAATGAGTGGAGGTCTGGGAATGTTAATTCTACATTGAATAGGTACCTACACAAAGCTTTGACTCGAAAACTGAATTGAATCATTTGAATAATTGAAGCGGAATGGTCCCTTGATGTTCTACATAATGTTATTCATAGTATCTGAGATGAAGAATTGGATTATTCTTTATGAAATTGAAATGGTGTTCAGTATTGTTCTCATTTCTTGGAGTTACATCAATTTGTGTTTCCAATGTCTGAAATGTAGAAACAATTAATGTTTCTAGAATGGTGGAGTTTCTTCCATTTTGTTTTTTGTGGTGAAAAATAAGAAGTGAGAATTCGTTAGCTGCATCTTCCATTACTTTTCTTCAGGAATTTGAAGATTTATTTTCAATAACTTTAGAATTTCATCGAGATAATTTCATGAATTTCACGTGGAGCTCAAGAGTCGTCTTTGGCGACGAAATAAATGTACGGGAAAACGTATTTTCAGAAAATTATGAGGAAATGACAAATTATCCTGGTGCCCTTGTACTCATAGTGAGACTAGGTGTCGGAAGACTGATTACTCTTGCCCTTGATTGGACTAACCTTTCTTCAATTGTAGAAAGAATTTTTGTGTTAGTTTTTTTGTGAGTTGAATTTTGTGATATAATACACAGCAATGCAAAATATGTCGTTTGCTCATAGGCAACCAGCCCAGTCCGGTAATGTAACTTGAGGTCGGAGTCCGTCTTTTAATACCGCATATCAGTCAGGTGCAAGAGTTTTGGAGTCTTTGAAGGCGAGTTCAATCGGAATTTTTGAGAGCCGGCCCATAAACAACATCGCAGTAATTTAGCTGTGATAAGACGAGTGACTCGCATAGGCTAATTTTGCAAGCTTCATTTAGAATCTCTCTGTTGGAATAGATCAATTTTAGGTTTACGAAAGCTTTTTTGATTATATATGATATATGCGTGGAAAACGTGAGGGAGTCATCAAGAAACAGGCCTAAATTTTTTTCGCAATTTGACAATTCGAGTGTTTCATTGCGAATGTGAAGGGAAATCAGGGGTCGGGATCTATTTTTGATCGATTTTCTACCGATTGGTTGGATTGATGGACGAACAATTTTTTTTTATATATCGACAAATCTCGCGAGATCCTCGTTAACTTCATTGCAGGCAGCAACAATATCTTTTTCATCGAAAGCGAGGTACAGCTGCCTGTCATCCGCATAGAAATATGATGTCATATGTTTCAAATGTTCACAGAATTGAGAGGTGTAAATAGTGAAGAGTAGCGGTCCCAATATTGATCCCTGAGTTACACCACACAAGGTTTTGATCGAGTTTGATGATGTAGAATTCAGTATAACTTTCTGTGAGAGTTTATTGAGATAAGCAGCAATAAGTTGCTGCGCTGTTGGAGAAAAGCCTATATAGTGTAGAATAGCTAACAATTCATGACCATCCCTGTCGAAAGCTTTTGAGTTATCAAGAAGTACGAGAACACAGAGCTTGTTCGCATCTATAAATGAGAATATGTCATCCGTCACTTTGACGGGAGCAGTGGCGCAGCTATGATTTGGACGGAAACCTGACTGGTGGTGTGGAAGAACATTGTGCATCAGGACGTGCTCACGAATCTGTTCGTCAATTATTTTTTCAAGAGATTTTGACAGGGTGCAGAGTATACTTATAGGCCTTAGATCATTCATGCTTGTAACGTCATGTTTTTTCGGCAATGGGATAATATTTGATTGTTTCCAAACAGAAGGAAAAACAGAATCAATTAGGCTGAAGTTGAAAATGTGAACGACGCATGAAAAAATCAGAGGACAGAGGAATCGCTTTACCGACAGGATCATTGTTAAGGAAATTTTGTCTGGGCCAGAGGCCGTGGATTTGATAGAAAGTAACTTTTCTTGAACCTTCAATTCGTCAATAAGAGATAACGAGAGCTGCTTAATATTCTACAGAGTATGATTGAAGAAATATTTGACGGTATGTTTGTCAGGGATATTCCGATACACCGTGTGCGAGTAATGGAAGGTTAATATAATCTCACTGAACAAATTCACTTTCTCCTCAATATTATCAGTACGGCATATCTCTGAAAAATCTGATAGAGATGGGCTGAGGGCTCGCGTTTAATTTTGACGGTGCCGACAGAGCAAGATATTAAAGCGTGATCGGTGA